GGAGTACATGTCGAGAGTCCCATATGCTAGTGCAGTAGGTAGCTTGATGTACGCTATGGTATGCACTAGACCTGATCTTGCACATGCTGTTAGTGTTGTCAGCAGGTTTATGATACAACCTGGGAAGGAGCATTGGCAGGCTGTGAAGAGGATCTTCCGGTACCTTAAGGGTACACCTGATGTGGGGATTAGCTTCGGAAGTGATACAGAGTACTTGGTGTCTGGGTAATAGTACTCGGACTATGCTGGAGATGTTGACACGAGGAGATCGATGAACGGTTATGTATTCACTCTTGGGAGTTCTGTAGTGAGCTGGAAGGCAACTCTGCAATCGGCGATGACATTGTCTACTACTGAGGCAGAGTATATGGCGTTGACAGAAGCTGCTAAGGAGGGAATATGGTTGAAGGGACTGGTTGGTGATCTGGGTCTACATCATGATCAGGCAGTGGTGTATTGCGACAGTTTGAGTGCAATATGCTTGGCCAAGGATCAAGTCCACCATGAGAGGACTAAGCACATCGATGTGAGGTATCATTTCTTGTGGACAGAGAAGAGGATTAAGGTGAAGAAGGTTGGCACCGCGGATAATCCTGCTGATATGTTCATGAAGCCGGTTCCACATGGCAAGTTCCAACACTGCTTCGACTTGCTGAATGTCTTGAGTGGGTGACTCCGCCCTACGGGGCATTGATGGCGGGAGAGAGAGAAGGAGCAGAGTACATCAGAGATTTCAGAGGAAGAGGATTCAAGTCAAGGTGGAGATTTTTTGATATGACTTGAATCGGACTATCAGCCGCTACGACTGGTAATCGGGGGTCTCGCTGTTATTTGGGTTCGGGTTCTGGCCCACGGTGTATGGGCTCAATGTTATTTGGGTTCGGGTTCTGGGCCTGGTCTGTAACCGTTTCCTTTGCCATATTGGATTAGGTTTAGACCCACATGGAGAAGTACTATCAATACTTCTCATACTCCTCTGTAATCTGTAATCTCCTCGATATAGTGAAACTGGCTCTCTCTCGCCCGTGGACTAGCTAACACACATCGTGTTAGTGAACCACGTAAATCGTGTGTCTGTGTTTTTCGATTCTCGCTTTCGTATTCTTGCTTTATGTTTGCTGTTGACTTGCCCTGATTCATGATTTGTTGGTTTTACAGCTGGGATTTGCTCGACATGTAAGCAAGCAGATCTGGGCAAGAAAAGTTACTGCCATGGTGTTGGTTTCTTGGTAGTCTATTATTTTATCTCGGTTGTCTTCTCTTCCCCGGTTCTTTCTAACCTTTTTTGTGCGGCTTTGAACACTTTTGCAGATGCTAAAGATTCGAGCTTGATTAACTTTTCTGCTCTAGTATACATAATTTCCTTATGTCTTTAAAATTCAGGTTCTTGTGTTTTCCTTCTTGGCCACAATGGTGTTTTCCATCAGAACGACTGCGTGAACTCTGTGTAACCATTCTTATAACCATTTATTGCAGATTTTGACAGGTACTTTGTTGGTATCTGCAAAAATGGCAGCCAGCCTCGCTGCTTCCCCGAGCTGATTATTGTAGTTTCAGTTGCCTTTGAAAGGTTTGTTTTGTATCGAACTTCCTGGTGTAATATAGTGTATTCTTTACAAACCTAAACTACGCCTTTCCATCACTAGGTCTAGATTTCCCTTGTGGATTGTGATTCTTATTTATAAAATTTACACTGTGCAGTGTGGTGCTTCCAAGTTCCAATAGCTCGGGTATGTCAAAAGCCTCCTGGTATATATATCCTATTTGTGACGCATTTTGTGGCAAATTTACATAAATAATCGGTAATATTAAAATATTTCAAATTCTAACCGGCAATTCAAAATATTCGCAAATCTAGTCGATTGAGCCAAGCTGTAGGCGATCACGCCGAAATCAGGGCGTTGATGCCAAAAAACAGGCGACATCGCCCAAAATTTTGCGCCGATTTGCTTTTTCGTCGCCTTGCAGCCGAGTAGCCCAGTTGAACCATAAATGTCAAATGCGCTTGACTTTGAGCGATGTCGCCCTCATTTATGTGCGGTTGTTGGTTTTCTACTTTGTCAGTAGATTGAGGCTTGGGAATCTGATTCCTTTTGCTTTGCAGAATACAACTTTCTCTTTTTTTCTTTGACCATTTATTTTGAGCATTGAATATATAGGTGGTGGAAGGTGAAGAGAGCAAATCCTAGTCTCATAACTTCATTCATCTTTCAAACTCTCATTCTCCAGAGAAACTTCATTCCTGCCGACACTCTCACTATCAGGCAAACAACCCAGCTGAAGCATTATCTTGGTAAGTTATATTACTGCTAATCTTATTAATTTGTAGGAAACGCTATAAACGTTCAATTACTATATTAATAACTACAATGAGATTATGCATTTATAGCTATATTTAGCTCATTAAATACATTTGTAGTAATTAAGATTTAGATTATGAAACCTTGCATGATGATGAACATAGGGAATTTTGTTAACCTTTACACTAATATCATATGGTATATTGTCTAATTTAGGTTGTATTTATTTCACAGGATGACTACACGTGAGTTTTTCATGTCCATATGGTGGAGAGGTGCCATCTCAGAGACGGGGTTGACTATGAAGGTGGAGAATATAAAAACTTAAGGATCAACAAAGTTGTAAGGTACAAGCAACTACGCAAAAAGTTGAGGTCGATGTTGGGTTTGGGAGAGGACCAACAGATAACGTTCATCACTTATAGGAGTCCTGTGCTTTGTGAGAATGTAATATCACATTATGCTCCAGTTTTGATCACAAACGACATGTGGTTGATGACCATATACAATATGGTCTCATTGCTACCACCTTGGTATGACCACGCAGAATTATATGTTGAATATGGGCAGAAAAGCTTCACCGACTTACTTGAGGAGGATAGCTTCGGTTCATCAGTTCCAACAATTTCATCATCATCTTTTACACATAATGATGAAGAGTCTCCTGACACCTACAATGTTTGCCCACCAAGCAGCGATGAAGATTCTGTGGGTAACTATGAACCTAGCAGTGAGTCTGAAAGCAATTTCAGTGACATCGAGTCAATATCACATTCTGATTCTATTCCACCATCACATTTTACAACTCTAGCTGATGGCATCGGAAATCTGATGTTCTGGAGAAATCATTGTCCAGAAGTTCCAGAACGTTATAATTGGGATGAAAGAAGGGATTTCTATCCTGGTATCTCTTTTAACTCAAAGGTTGAAGACAATGCCAAACCTATGTGTCCAAATCTAATCCAAAGCAACTGGTCATGAGATGTTCTTCGTACAAGTCTATGTGGTGTCCATGGAAGGTTAGTGTGATTGACAGAGATGATGGAGAAGCATGGGTTGTGCGAGAGGCAAACTCGATTCATACATGTATGCCAGGAAGTAGATCTCGGGATCACATGCAGATGGATTCAGAGCTCATCTCTAGCTGCATCAAACATTTGGTCAACGTGCAGCCTAATATTGGGATCAAAACCGTCATAGCTGAATGCACAAATAGATACGGCGTGACTCCTTCATATAAGAAAGCGTGGTATGGGAAGCAACGAGCAGTCGAGAAGGTCTACGGAAACTGGGAGGATTCATACACCAAGCTTCAACACCTTATGCTTTGCATAATATCTTATCGTCATCAAGGTATTCAAAATGCAATGGAAAATATTAGCTTTGGGTGGAAATGGAGGTGGTGCTTGCGTCATTATATGTCCAACTACAATACCCACTTCAGAAATAAGGAAATGAAGAAAAAAATATGGCCAATTGGTACGTTCAATACATTCTGTATACTTATTTGTTGAGATGGTAAACAGCTTACTCTTGCTGATTACTAGTCATTTGTATTTTGTAGGTGTCCAGAATTAAATACTCAAGTATTCCGCTCTAGTAGAGAAATTTGTTGCTATTGATGCAAGGTTGAGACTGAATAGTATTGAATGGGTCACGGAGGATCAGATACATTGGAGCTTGGCTCATGACAACGAAGATGGAGGGAGTAGATGGGGTATGATGACAACTGATCTTTCAGAGTGCATGAATGGTGTTCTTAAAGAAGTTCGTGGCATGCCCGTTGAGGCACTTGTCTTACAAACTTTTTGGCATGTGGTTGCATATTCCAATGATCGTCGCATGGATGCCGTGTCTGACTTTGAAGCAGGCAACTTGTTCACCAAATATTGTGTTGACGAATTCAACAGACGCTCGCAAAAATCAAACTATCATCATGTGCGGCCGTTTGATTCAATGGCTGCAAGGTTTGAAGTCGTGACTGGGGTGAACAATGCAGTAAACAGAGGAGGTTATTCCCAAGTGGTTCACCTAAATGTTGATGATAGGACTGGGAGGTGCACGTGTGGAAAGTTTCAAGGGACAGTTATACCATGTTCCCATGCAATTTCATGTTGCTAGTTTCTAGGCATGGCGGCGAAAATTTTCATCAATCCTCATTATTCGATAGCGGCTCTTGGAGAGTGTTATAAGTCTGGATTCGAACCACTTGGTGATAGGCGATACTGGCCTGAGTATCTCGGACCTTGCCTTCTTCCAGATCAAGCAACAAAACGAAAACATGGTCGACCAAGAAAATCAAGACTACCCAATGAGATGGATTGGCGCGATGGAAGGATCCCTCTCGAGTGCAGCGTTTGTGATCAAGGTGGACACAATGCAAGGTCATGCCCAAATCGAAGGTCGTCTCAATCCCAAGCATCATCATCCAGAGCTTAGAGTTATCGTGATTAAACTAATATATGTTGGATGTTATAAATATGATGTAATTCTAAGAGTGCCTACTTGTTGTAAACTGAATACCAGGTTTAGTAAACATAATTGGATGTTAAACAACCACTAGATGCTGGATGTTAAATAACCACTACCAAAGCTTAACTACTGTTGTTAAAAAAAACAAATTTTAACTAATGTGAATACAACTTCGTCAAATGCTAAAGTGTCTTAATACAATAGAAAAGAAACCACAAACATCCATAATTAATGATGACCGTCTCGAAGTGGATGGCGCCCACCAGTGCGACAAAGAGTGGGCGGGATAGTAGCTCGATCTCGTAAGCCATACTGATGGTGTCCCTCGACGTTCTCCCCTGGATCTCTCGTTCGACCGCGACCTCGTCCACGTGGGAGAACTGGGACGGGCATAACGTCGTCATCGTCAAAATCAACAGTGGATGACTGTCTGAGTGCCTCCTGTTGTGAAAGTTGTTGCGAGGTAGGAGTGTTAATGCCTCCAAAGCCTCTGCTTGTATCGGTGGTACCAAATTTGGCAAAACCTAAACCACTACCACCGCTTTCGTAGTGCATAGTATCATAGGTCGCAGCATATATGGGAGTACCAAACTGACTAGATGGACCAGGAGTGACACCCTCACCTTGATTAACAGATCCACCATGGTAGGGCAATCGAACTTCCAATGGATTTGGTATATGTGGAAACTGTCGATCTTGCTCTTGAATAGGATTGGAGACACTCTCGACATTTTCTCGACCTCGTCCTCGTGCACGATCTCTCCTTTTCCATTGTTTACGGGGCATGTACTGGGGGTAATGTACATATGCCTCCTCACTTGGTGCTCCATCTATCACTGAATCACCTATCTCGCGAATGTCACCACCGCCGATCAACATACTAGTCTTGAGAAGAGCATCCAAATGTTGGACCTCCGAGTCTCCTAATACTAGTCCTGGCCTTGTCTTTTCACGTGCAACCTCCATAACGTCAAGCTAAATCACAATAAAAAGCACAAAATATTATTACAAAACTCTGCACCATAAATCATTATAAAAAAATTTACATACCATACTCTCATGGGCAGCAGCATAGTAGGTGATGAATCGTAGTGTAATTCGTCGATACCATTGCATGTACTCAGAATGATAATGCAGAGGATGTGAAGGTACAGGAGACCACTTAATGCAATGACTCAAACAACTCTCCCAATACTCAATATAGGTGAAATGGTGTGTAGCCCAATCATCCTCTTGTGCACGATCATCCTCCTTCAATAATGCAACCACTTCATCCCTTGTTTCCGAATAAGTTGGAATATATTGTTGAAGTTCAAATTGGCGCATTGTACGATCATGACGGTGCCAAGAAATGCTATAAAAGCATACAAGCGGAGTGACACAGAACCATAAAGACTTCAAATGACTAGCATCCAATCCATAAGGTGCCCACTACACCAACATAAAATTTTGATTATTTTTATAACTAGGCGAAAGATATAAATTAGGACCCTTAGAACTTCTAATGCATACCTCGAATTCCTTTGTGGTATCAAAGAATACTCGATATTCCATTAATTCGAGACTTGCTTCATTGTTTTCCAGGTCGATCCACCTACATTATGTGATATAAGGGTAAGTTACATTCTAACCTATAAATAAACATCAATATCGATATTAAAATTTAAGGTTAGCTAGAATTCTTTACCTTAATCCAAAAGGGACGTGATGCACATCGGGTTCACGGGGAATGGTCGCAATGCTTGGTAGCCTCTGCCAAGCCCACAATTGAAGGAGAATGAAACAACCAGCCAAGTCCCCATGCGTACTACCACCTGTTGATCCATAACCAAAGACCGTTCTGCCCATCTCACGGTATGTGTTCGACAAGACGGCAGACCCCCATGAGTAACTAGTAGCCTTATCCCAATCACGCAGGATCCACAAGAAACTGCAACTAACGTTCCCTCCAGAACGATTTGGGAATAACACACCTCCAATGAGTGACAAGATGTAAGTATTGGCAAAATTCTGCAGATCCTGAATGCTAGCATTATTTGGAAGAGAATTAAACTGATGTCGTAGCCAACTCGTCCTCAACTTATTACCTAGAAAGTCCGTCTGAACTGTAGGATGGCATCCCAAACATGCATCACATTTTTTTTTCTGCATCAGTTACACTTTTTTCTGTCTTGATGGTTAGAGGCAATCCTTCAATTTTCAAACCTAGAAGTAACTCCACGTCTTGGAGAGTGATGGTACACTCTCCAGTAAACAGGTGGAATGTGGATGTCTCCGGACGCCACCTCTCAACAAGTGCATTGATCAAAGCCCCATCAAGTTTAATCTTGGAAATATCAGGAATGCTAGCAAATCCAATGCTCTGTAAAAAGGGATCATATCTCTGGTAATACTTAACCGGTTTCTGACTACGCAAATGAAAACTTCCCAGCTTCTGGACATGCATAAAGACAATGAAAGCAACAGTTTAGATATCTATTTCCTCTCTTTTCACATGTAAACAAAAGCAAGCTAGTATTCAACAACTCAGCCATAAAAAACTAACTTGATCAAGTCATACACGCCGAGCACGGTGTTCACCTTCTCCCCAAAGTATAGATTTGTCAATCGGCTCAGGATTCACTCCGGGTGGCTGAGTGAAACTTGTTGGATCCATCCCTTAAATAAGAACAACACATACTAGACGTTATTCAAATGGAACACCATATATAAAGTTGTTCGAATTTTGACTCTAACTATTGCGGACCTTTTCTACTACTACTACACTAACATAACAAAGTTGCTGTTAACCTCTAGCAAGGTTCTTGTTGAATGCTTATATGCTTCTCTTGTACACTAACAAATATAAACACAACAAGGGCTACTACACCACACTCTATTGGATGATCCGTGTTTCAGAAACTTTTGCATATAAATAAAAACTAATGCTCTCAACAAAGAAAGCCATGTGGAACTCACCCTACGCTGGATGGTCGGCCGCCAAATCCTCCTAAGTTTATTCTTTGTCAAATATAAGTACAATTTGGTCACGTAAACTTCCTAATGATCAATTTATTCAAGAAAACGACCCCAACCAAATCTCGATAAATTGATGATGCACAATTCGAAGCTAGCTGGGCATGGTTCAGATTTATCTCAACTATCAAAGGACAGAGGGAGGGAACTTAACCTTACCGAGTGGTCTTCCAACGACGAAAGCTGCGGTCGGCGTTAGGGTAAAAGGATGGCGACGAGGCAAGCGGAGGACAGTCGAGGCCGGCACCGTCAGCGGCGGAAATCGGCCTTGGTAGAGAGCTGATGATCGTCGATTGACCTTCGCGATTCAACGTCGTCGTCGAGGAGGCGAAGCTGATGACCGTCGGCGATGGTGTGGTGACCTGGGTCGAATTAGTCTTGGCGAGCAGAGAAGAAGAGAACAGATAGAGAGAGAGAGAGAGAGGGAGATGAGAGAGAGGGAGTTTGTTGTATTAACCAAGTTAGCCGTTAGGCCGTTACAGAGCGGGATTATATACCCGTTGGTAAAATATCCAAGACAGTCACTACACTTTTGCTATTTACAATTAAATCCGTCTGTTACAACTCCCCTATCCTTCGAAAACAACTTGTCCTCAAGTTGCAAATGCTGGAAATCTCTGCTTGAACTCATCTAAGAATTCCCAAGTGGCATCCTCCTCTGTCTGGTCTGTCCATTGAACCAAGATCTGAGTAGCTGCCCTGTTCTGTCGAGACACAACCCTCCGCGCAAGAATGGTTGTCGGCTCGACCTTCAATCCCCCATTTGCATCGATCTCAGGGAGAGCTGGCTGTGTGGTCACTGAATTACCCCTCGCCCTCTTAAGAAGTGAGACATGGAACACCTGGTGAATGGCTGATCCAGAAGGGAGTTTTAAACGATAAGCGACATTCCCGATCTTCTTCTCAACTTCAAAAGGGCCATAGAATTTAGGAGACAACTTCTGATTTTCCCTGGACGCCACTGTAGATTGCCTGTAGGGTCGCAACTTGAGATAGACAAACTCACCCTCTTGAAAAGACCTCTCTGTTCGATGCATATCAGCCATCTGCTTTTGCCTATTCTGGGCCTTGGCCAAATTGTTTCGAAGAATAAACACCAAGCGCTGTTGTTGTTGAAGCCTCTCTGCCACTGCAGCAACGGGTGTCGAAAGGGGGTTAGCAATGGACAGCTGAATAGGAGAATACCCATATAGAGCCTCAAATGGAGTTCCCTGCAAACTACTGTGGTAATTGGTGTTATACCACCATTCAGCTAGGGTGATCCAGGTAGCCCAGTGTTGTGGATTGTGATGCACCATACCCCGCAAATACTCTTCCAAACATCTGTTAACCCTTTTTGTTTGTCCATCCGTTTGTGGGTGGTAAGCAGTAGAGAAATGCAGCTTCACTCCTTGCAGCTTAAAGAGTGTAGACCAGAATGTACTTGTGAATAATGAATCTCTGTCTAAAACTATTGTTTGAGGAAGACCATGGAGTTTGAAAACCCCATCAAAGAACACTTGAGCGACTGAACTAGCTGGGTAAGGTTTAGGCAAGCAGAAGAAATGGCTGTACTTGGAAAACCTGTCAACAACCACGAACACCGCTTCCTTTCCCTGAGACTTAGGCAACCCTTCGATAAAGTCCATGGAAATGTGCTTCCAAGCCTGATCTGGAATTGGAAGAGGCTGTAATAACCCTGGATATGGCACATTTTCCACCTTGCATCTCTGACAAACATCACGTTCCTGTACAAATTTCTTTAAATCACACTTGATTCCAGGCCACCAGAAATAGCGTTTGAGTTTTTGATAATTGGCTTGCAAGCCAGAATGACCACCAATGGGAGATTCATGAAACAATTGCATCAATTGCTGCCTCATCCTTCATGTTGATCCCACCACTAGTGCTGCCTTATGGTATAACAGTCCCATATGAACATAGTGAATCTTAGGTCCAATCAGTGGTATTGCAGCATCCATCAATAATCCTTGAACCACTGTATCCCCTTAATAAGTGGTCTCAATCTCAGCTAACCAAGAAAGGAGAACAGCTGTAATTGCGTGGCACTTGCTGTGTTTGCCAAACTGGGGGTGCCTGGACAAGGCATCTTCAACTTTATTGAACTTGCCTTGGCGGTACTGAATCTCAAAGTCCAGACCTAGCAACTTAACCAAACCTTTTTCTGTATCTGCGTGTGAATTTTCTGGCCGAGTAGGTGCTTTAAGCTTTCATGATCAGTGACAATGATGAATTTCCTTCCTTCAAGGTAATGTCTCCACTTTGTAACAGCAAGAAGAACAGCCAGATATTCCTTCTCATAGGTTGATAGGCCCTGCTTCCTTGGCCCTAAAGCCTGGCTATGATAAGCCAAAGGTTTACCTGCTTGAGACAGCACTGCTCCAACTCCCACATCACTAGCATCAGTTTCCAGAATAAAAAGTTGAGTAAAATCAGGTAAGGAAAGCACTGGAGCTTGAACCATTGCCTTCTTCAATGCATGAAAAGCACCCTCAGCAGCTGTACACCACTTGAAACTATCCTTCTTCAGAAGCTCTGTCAAAGGCTTGGCCAACAAACTATAATTTTTGACAAACTTCCTATAATATCCAGTCAGTCCCAAAAAACCCCTAAGTTCCTTGATATTGTGAGGAACAGGCCAAGAAACCATGGCCTCAATCTTGCAAGGATCAGTAGAAACACCCTCCTGATTGATGATATGGCCGAGGTAATCCACCTGTGTTTGGCCAAAAGAACACTTGGATGGCTTGGCAAACAAGGTGTTGGCTCTTAAGATGCTTAGAGTGGTAGATAGGTGCTGCTTGTGACTTTCCTGGTCAGGGCTGTACACCAATATATCATCAAAAAAGACTAGAATAAACTGTCTGAGATGAGGAGCAAATATTTGATTCATTAAAGCCTGGAAAGTAGTTGGAGCATTTGTCAATCCAAAGGGCATCACCCTGAATTCGTAGTGTCCTTGATGCGTCCTAAAAGCAGTCTTGTGCTGGTCAGGGGGGTGCATCCTTATGTGGTGATATCCTGACAGTAAATCAAGCTTGGTAAAGTACTTAGACCCACGCAATTCATCCAGCAGGTCATCAATCACAGGTATGAGAAACTTATCCTTAATAGTTAATGCATTTAGTTGTCTGTAATCAACACAAAATCTCCACGAACCATCCTTCTTTAAAACCAACAACACTGGGGATGCAAATGAACTGTGACTGGTCTGTATGTATTGAGCTTCCATCATTTCCTTCACCAACTTGTCCATTTCATTCTTCTAGGGTATTGAATAACAATAGGGTCTCAAATTCACAGGCTGTGCGTTTGGTTGAAGTGGAATGGTGTGATCACAAGATCGAGCAGGTGGTAAACCAGTAGGCTTCCCAAACACATCCTTGAACTCACTTACTACAGGTTCCAAGAAAACAGGAACCTTACCTGGATTGGATACCTCAACAGAGATGCTGAATAAGTGGCCCACCAATGTGTCCTTCGTCTTCCTCAACAACTTTTGCAGACTCTTACCAGACATGGCCTTGCATTGAGCTATGTCCTGCATTCCTTGGAGTACCACTTCCTGCCCTTTCCAGTCAAAGAACAGCTGCAGGTTAATGAAATCAAATTTGACCGGGCTGATTGTTTTCAACCAGTCCAACCCCAACACCACATCATTTGTTCCCAAGTTTAGTATACGCATGTCAAACACAAACTGCTGGTCCTGCATTTCCCAACAGAAATCCCTACACACCATGCTACTCAACAATACTGTTCCATCCGCTAACTTCACTCGCAAGGGAGTAGCAGCCTGTTCCACTTTAAATTTCAATTCAGTAGCCTTCCTTTCACTAAGGAAAGTATGTGTGCTGCATGTGTCAATCAAAACAAATACCTTCTCCTTCATGACCTTACCACGCACAATCAAAGAATTAGAGAGACCCCCACTGCTTAAAGCTTGCATCGACACTTCCACCACTTCTGACTGGTGCTGTTCCTCTACCAATTCACCCACGTCATCTTCATCCAGCACACTCCAGTCTTCCGGAGCTAAGACCTCTTCATCCTCAGCCTGTAATGCATTCAATTGTTTCCTTGTATCACACACATGGCCAAAATAATACTTGTCCCCACATTTATAACAAGCACCTTTTGCAAAATTCGTTTTTGATCCCATGGGACCAGGTTGAGACCCCTTATTTCCATTGATGCTGCTGTTAGGACGCCCCCCTGAGCTTTCCCACTTCCTGGCACCATGAGATGGTTCTGGCCCTGCTGGTGGCAATGGTGGACGAATGGTACTGCTGGAACCTATCCTCCACTTCTTCCTCCTAGCTTCATTGGAGGCTTCTTCCAACTGGGCCAAATGAAAAGTATGAGCCAAGGTTTGAGGTTGCCACATCTTAATCACTGGACGAAGCTCTTCCTCCAACCCACTCACGAAACTGGAGATGAAGTATTGTTCCCCCAAAGCTGGATTATACCTAACCATCTGGGACTTAAGTTCTTCGAATCTCTCCTGTATTCCACCAATGAACCACGCTGCCTCAGTTTGTTAAATTCCCCTACAAGTCCCCCATATTCGCGATCACCAAACCTATGGCAAAGATCTGCTGCGAATTCGTCCCAAATCCAGTGCTGCTTCGCAAACTTCCAACCCTCAAACCATATATCAGGACGCCGCTCAAAGTAAATCGACACCATCTGTACCTTCTGATCATTGGAAACTTGATAGATATCGAACAGTTTCTCATATTTGCGAACCCAATCCCTAGGATTATCACCCCCAAACATAGGAAAATCCAATCGAGGCAGCTGAATCTGAGCGTTACCTCGCGGTGGAACGTGAAACTGATCCTGCTCCATTTCTCGCACCTGAGGTGGAGGCAGAGGACCTCGATTCATCTGAATGGCCGGATCTGGAATACGAAATCGGGAATTAGGTAGCGGTAGTAAACCCCGATCCTCCTGGCGCTCTGCTTGCTGAACCTCCGGACGCTGCTGAACCTCCAGTCGACGAAGGATTTCTTGAACGTTCTGCTGAAGCTGATCGAATTGGGCGAAACGAGTCGCGGCGCGATCCTCCATCCCCTCTAGACGAGTAGTGAGCGTCGCAAACTGCAGAGAATGCCCTTCGGAGCGAGCCATTAACTCAGTGAGCTGATTTGACTGAGTGCGATTCTGATCCTCCAAAGTAGCAATTTGAGTAGTGACGGCATTTTCGACCTCGAGAGTGCGAGAAGAGAAGGAATTCAGGCGATCATCGAGCTGACAAACAGTAGTCGCCATGGCCAAGACTGGCTCTGATACCAATTTGTGGTGACCTGGGTCGAATTAGTCTTGGCGAGCAGAGAAGAAGAGAACAGATGGAGAGAAAGAGAGAGAGATGAGAGAGAGAGAGAGGGAGTTTGTTGTATTAACCAAGTTAGCCGTTAGGCCGTTACAGAGCGGGATTATATACCCGTTGGTAAAATATCCAAGACAGTCACTACACTTTTGCTATTTACAATTAAATCCGTCTGTTACAGATGGGAAGGAGGGGATCGGGGGAGCGATTGAGGCGATGGAACGGAGAACCTCTGTACGAAAACGGAGAAGGGGAAAAGGCAGACACAGGGTCGGTCGATTATGGTTGGGGAAATAAAAGCTGTACAGCTGAGCCAAAACTAAAACGACATCGCTCCAATTAAAGCGTGTTAGCCATTTTGGTTCGACCAAGTAACCAATTGCTAGACGTCAGATATGGTATATGTCGCCTGTTTTTTGGCATCAACGCCCTGATTTCGACGAGATCGCCTACAGCTGGGCTCAACCAACTAGATTTGTGAATATTTTGAATTGTCGGTTAGAATTTGAAATATTTTAATATTACCGATTATTTATGTAAATTTGCCCGCATTTTGTTTGGGATTATTATTAGGATTGAATGAATTCATTGTTCTTGTAGTTTTGCGAAATTCGAGCAATGTTACAAAACAGTGCACTTAGCTTCTTCATCAAAGATATTCTATTTCCTGATAGTTTGTGATAGTTGTACTTGTGTATCTTCTAGGCTTTTATATGGTAATAACAGTTGTTTTATTAATGTTCGTCCATCTCCAATTTTTGTATAGTAATCTTCATTAATTTTTATTGACCTTGCTCACCAACTTATCCATTGTCCTTTCCCCATGTTTAGCTGCTGTCTAAATTAACTAACTCCTTCTCCCATTTTGTTTGGTGATCATTAGGGCTGGGCAACGGGACGGGACGGGATACCCGTCCCGTTTTAAACGGGATACCCGTCCCGTTTTAAACGGGTACCCAGTCCCATTTGAAGAACAATTTCCATCCCATATCCCAAACCCGTACGGTTAACGGGTACCCATAACCCGTACGGGACGGATAACGGGTACCCATAATACCCATAAATACCCGTTCAATTGGTGGAGCATCACTACAAAAAAAGTGATTTTAACGAGGGTAGAAAACGGTCGTTAAAAGCTCAAATCCCATCGTTGAAAGCCATTAACGACAGGAAACCACCCCTCATTACAGGCTTCGCCGTTAAAAGCCAATTACGAGGGGAATTTTACATCCCATCGTTAAAGCCTTCTACGAGGGGGTCTCTTTCCTCTCGTTGTTGCTGTCCAATAATATAAAATAATAATAAAAAATTGAGCCGAGATGTGCAATTATTATCCAACCATATTTGGAGGTAATTAAGACGTTATTAATCAATTGATCTCAATCTTGGTTATTATAATGGTTAATTTGCCTCGGTTATGCAAACTCAAACAGATTTTACCCAATCTTCCAAATATTAATTCAGAAGGCCATGAACCATCTAGCTAGCTAGTTATAAAATACAATCACAGACATACATCAGTCAATCAAAAGAAGAAAAAAATAGAACCAGAAAATGGTATTAGGTCAAGCTAGGTATAAGATTACAACTCCCAGAACTTTTCTTCCTCTAAGACCACATTAATTATTCGAACTCTCCTTCTCATCGACTTTGTGGCTTTGTCCTTTCTTCTTTCTAGAGGGAGACTTCTTTTCGATCTAATGAGCGGGGAGGAAAAGAAGGCGTGGCCACAGAGTTCAGAGGGGGTCGAATCCGAAGGAGCAGCAACGAACTTTGCGAGGAAGAGCGGCATGTATGCGGCGAAGGCCTGATAGCTGAGGAGGTCAGAGATTTCGATGGGTTGGTGGAGCTTGTGAGATAGGTAGATCTGGTGAGGTCTGGGTTGGCCATTGAACGAGGTGGGTAGATTTGAAAGGGAAAGAGATTCGTTGGAGGAAGGGGTGGAGGGATTTTTTATTTGGATATTGGGAGAATAGATAAAGTAGTTTAAGGAGGAAGAGACGAAGATAGTGTATGTTTTTTTTTTTTTTTTTTTGACAATAATTCCATCTTTATTCCACCATAAAGGAAACGCGCTAAACAGCGATTACATTTAAAGGAGATCAGAAATTAGATCAAGAATACTAATCCAGTCCTCTGGCAGAGTAGATCTAGCTTTGGATCGTGCTACCCAATCAGCCCTAACGTTCAACGCCCTTGGGACCTCCTTAACCGTAATTGCAGGGTTACTCCTGAGGATACCCACCATTGTTCTAATCCAGGATGCACATCTCCAGGGCCATCGGGACTGATTATGCTTCAAGGCCCTCACCAGAACTTGACAGTCGGATTGAACTGTACAGACAGAGCCATATTCTTGTGCTAATTTAATACCTTCCATTAGTGCCTTCGCTTCCGCTTCTATCGGGGTGGAACAAAGAAGAGACTCAGCTCTCCCATCGCACACTTGTCCATGGTGGTTAACAACAACAACACCATAAGCCGCCGGCTGGGAGTCGCTAAGGAACGACCCATCACAGTGAATCACCAACGAGTGATTACTTGGCGGGGGATTCGTAGTGGGAAGGGGTCCCCTGAGCTGAGTGGGACCATCTGAAGAAGGAGGCGGGGGCCTCGGGTAAGTCATCCATTCCGTAAGTTCTCTATAGGTTTGTAGACAAACGTTTGGGGGCCAGGGAACTCTATTTTTGAAGGTACTCTCGTTTCTTGCCTTCCATATGTTCCAGCAGAGATAGATAATGTGAATCAGGGAGTTATTAGGAATGTTATCCTTGAGGGAGCAGAACCAATCAAAGAAGGAGGTGCTCTGTGGAGGGGTCGGGACGGATGGGAAAATGGAATTCCATGAATCTCTGGCATGAGGGCAGTAGAAAAGGCAGTGGTTTAGGGATTCCACCGGGTCTTGACAAACCTGGCAAACTGGGTTAGGAGCACATTTCCGTTGGAAAAGCCTAGCTTTCGTTGCCAACCCATTTCTGGAACATCTCCAGATGAAGAACTTAAGCTTAGGCGGAATATTCAATCCCCAAATCCATTTCCATCTCTCTTCGCTTCCCATTGGATGGAAATTGGTGTTTGCTTTGTGAACAGCGTGGTAAGCCGTCTTAACCGAGAAATCTCCCTCACGAGTAAGGCACCAAGCCCAAAAGTCCTCAGATCCCTCTTCCCCAATAGGAATTTTAAGGATAGCCTCCACTTCTGCTCTTGACACCTGACCTTGGATCAACTCCGTATTCCATCTCCTATTATCAGGGTCAATCCAGTCCTTTACTCTCAGTTTCTGTTGGGGGCCACTTCTAATGACAAAATTATGTAGGCTCGGAATCCATGGATCCTGGCCCACCCAAGTATCCTCTCCCGATCCGATGATTTTGACTGCTCCAATGTTGATCACTTTTTTTGCCTCCCAAAGACTCGCCCAAATCCAAGATGATCTGCTCCCTTTTTTGGAGTTAAGGAAGTCACCTCTTGGGAAGTACAAACCCTTCAGAAGACGACACCAGAGGGCATCAGTGGAATTAAGGAGTCTCCACGCCTGTTTCGCCAACAGGGCCATGTTGAAGTCTTTGAAACTTCGGAATCCCAACCCCCCTTCCGCTTTCGGAGCACAAAGGATTTCCTTCCTACACCAGTGCATGGTGCTTTTCTGCATAGATCCTGACCAAAAGAAGTTGGTGAGGAGGGAATCCATCTTTTTGGTGAGGTTCACCGGGAGGTGGAAAAGGTACATGATGTAGGAGGGAATAGCTTGAATAACTGCTTTGAGCAAGACTTCTTTCCCTCCATGAGAGAGGAGGAGACTCTTCCAAGCTTCCCCCATCTTTTCCATTCTCTGAATGAGGAATTGGAAAGTTTCCTTTTTTGAATTCCCCCACTCTGTCGGGACTCCTAGGTATTTTGAGTGACAGTTTGAAGTTGCAAAACCGATGTGGGCAATGATCGCCGCTTTCTCTCCATCAGGTACATTTGCACTAAAAAAGACCGAGGATTTGTTAATATTCACTTCTTGTCCCGTGATGGCTCCGTAATCTCTGATGAGGTCGAGGATTTTCTCTGCTTCTTGGTGGTCGGCCTTACCAAAGATAACTGTGTCATCTGCAAACAGACAGTGGGTGAGAATCGGGCATCTCGCGTTTAACCTAATTCCTTTTAACTGGCTCTGGGAAGCCGCTTTGTCAACCAGAAAAGTCAGAGCGTTAGACATCAAAATGAAAAGGAAAGGTGAAAGTGGGTCTCCCTGTCTAATTCCCCTTGACGGCTTGAACTCTTCTGTCGCTTCACCATTAAAGAGGATGGAGAACTTGACCGTCCGGATGCAGGAGCTAACCCATTTACACCATCTCTCTTCAAAACCATAGTTCTTCAGCAATGTCTCAAGGCATTCCCAGTCCACCATATCATACGCCTTCTTCATGTCCAACTTGAGCATCATGTCTCTTCTCCTTCCCCTCTTATGGTTTTTGAAATGGTGGAGGGCCTCGTGGACAATAATGATATTGTCTTGGATGAGTCTACCTCCGGTAAACGCAGTTTGTAGCTCCGATATCAGATCAGGTGTCCATATTTTCAAGCGAGTTGCCATAATTTTCGATATAATTTTATATCTAAAATTACAGCAACTTATGGGCCGAAACTGGCTTATCAACTCTGGATGGTCAACTTTAGGAATCATAACAATATGTGTATCGTTCCATCCATTCGGCATCGTGGCCGTCTCAAAGAACTCCTTCACTTCTCTACACACTGTTTCCCCAATAATGTCCCAGAATCTTCTGTAGAACCTGCCAGAGAACCCATCCGGCCCTGGAGCCTTATTCGCTCCGAGCGAAAAAACCGCTTTCCTAATCTCCTCACTCGTAACAGGGGCACACAGAGCATTGTTCATCTCAGTAGTGACCTTTTCTGGGAACCCATCCAAAAGATGGTCAAAGGGAATCTGGTC